CACATGACCAGCATAAACCAGCACATGACCAGCATAAACCAGCAAAGGACCAGCATAAACCAGCATCCCAGTGTCAAAACATACCTAACCAGCATATGCTGTTTTTTTCAACAGGGAAATAACTTCATGACGACTTACTAAAGTAAATTAGCTTCACATTTAAATTTCACCTTAAAATATAAGCAAGTGAAACAAATATTTAACTCACCATAGAGAGTGAGATAGAATCTTTTGCTCATTGGTCTGGTCTGTAATTCAACACTGAACACAACAGTGAACATGATGATGATGAACATTGTGAAGAATTACTGCTAATGACAGGACAAGGCAGACGAGCTGAAAACATAAGAATTATTTTCTGGTCATTGTGTCCATCTCGAACTATAAAATGATCATTTGAAAGACTGGATGTTCTCTACTCACCATAGACAGAAACTCTGAATGCTTTTGATACCCGTTTTCTTCCATTTAACGTTAGTTTGTAACGTCCAGCATGTTCAGTTGTGGTGTTTGTGATGGTCAGAGATCCGGTTTGATTGTCCAGCTTCAGTCTGTCTCTGAATCTCCCGTCAGGACCATCAAATGTGGAGAATCGTCCAGCAGCTCTGATGATTTCAGCTATTAAAGCCATATCTGTTTCACACTCCCACAGTATGTCGCTGTCACTTACTTCAGTAAGATTAATGTTTAGAGTGACAGAATCTCCCTCAGTCACTGATATTTCTTCTGCATCACAAACACGCACAGAAACAGGGTTTGTCACAGATTGAGACTTTTAACCCTGTTGAAAAAAAACAGCATATGCTGGTTAGGTATGTTTTGATGCTGGGATGCTGGTTTAAGCTGGTCCTTTGCTGGTTTATGCTGGTCCTTTACCAGCACATGACCAGCATAAACCAGCAAATGGACCAGCATAAACCAGCACATGACCAGCATAAACCAGCAAATGGACCAGCATAAACCAGCACATGACCAGCATAAACCAGCAAATGGACCAGCATAAACCAGCACATGACCAGCATAAACCAGCAAAGGACCAGCATAAACCAGCATCCCAGTGTCAAAACATACCTAACCAGCATATGCTGTTTTTTTCAACAGGGAAATAACTTCATGACGACTTACTAAAGTAAATTAGCTTCACATTTAAATTTCACCTTAAAATATAAGCAAGTGAAACAAATATTTAACTCACCATAGAGAGTGAGATAGAATCTTTTGCTCATTGGTCTGGTCTGTAATTCATAACGTCCAGCATGTTCAGTTGTGGTGTTTGTGATGGTCAGAGATCCGGTTTGATTGTCCAGCTTCAGTCTGTCTCTGAATCTCCCGTCAGGACCATCATCATATACAGTCATGCTGCCAGTCGTTACGTTGGTATCAACTATCAAATATTTCCCAAACCACCACTGAATCCACTCACCCTGATTTATTTGAGTAAGACGAGTGTTTAGAGTGACAGCTTCTCCTTTAATCACTGACACTGATGCCCGTGCTGTGTAACCAAACACTCCTGAAGAACAGAGTTTGTCATGAAGCTTGACTAAAACACTTTTAAAACTGAGCAATAACTTTGAGCTTCATATTTAATTGAGTCAATCCCTTACAACTGTACAAAGAGTTGAGTAAAATCACACTCATTTATGTGCATATGAGAATATCAGTGAATGTTAATCCTCTCTGACTAATTTATTAGATGGTACCAGAACCATAAAAACACATTTCAAACTCACCGACCAGACGCCACAAACACAAACAGAACAAAACTAATTTGAGAAACATTCTCTTCATCGGTTCACTGCATAGTGCTGCTTAAAATGGCTGAAAGCACTCTGAAACACGACTGAGCTGTGATATTCATCTGGCTGTGACCTCAGACATAGTTTCCGCTCCCACATCCATCAACAAGCTTTCGCTGATCTTACATTTTTAAATGAATTCTGGCCCGGCATGAAAACTAACAGCAGGAGTGTTGGATTCGATACCCATTCATCATCTTTAATGTCAATTTCTTGCATTTAATCAATCAATTCAATTAGGATAACAAGACACCACAGGACTGTTACCAATCAAATGAAATCAGTATCAACGAATTCCATCTTTGCACAGAAAAAAACAGAAGCTGCATCTTAAAGGAACAGGTCACCTAAAAATGACAATTAGCTGAAAATGTCCTCATCCTCAGGGCATCCGAGATTAGCTAAACAAATATGTGGCTGGATTTTGATGTGAGAGACAACAGCAGATGCACTTTTTCACTGCAGGAAGCGTTATTATGAATTATGGACTCGTGTTTTAGCTGGAAGCAATGGTTTACAGTTAAAAACATCTCAAAAATAAACATTTAAGCAAATTTTCATTTTTGGGTGAACTTTTACTTTAATGAATGAGTCATTGAATCATTCATTAAACCAATTCAGGAACGAATGAGTCATTGACTCACTCGATTCTTTCGAAAACGCGGCTTTATTCAGTACCAAGTGTCGCACTGAGAGATCAGCGGTTCTTCTGTGGATTTGTTTGGAACAGTTTGTTGTGAAATAGAGCACAAACCTGTTAACTCGACGTTAACTGTTGTATGAAATCAAAATAACATTTGCAGTTGTGCTGATATTTGTGAAAAACAGCACTCTTGCTCATGTGATATTGCTTAACTATGTTATATGAGGAAAATATAAAAGATATGAAAAGTCTTTTTCCTTCACATCTTGAATATCGGGGTCATTCTAACAGGCTAAATCAAGCAATCTTGTGTGCAATCTTAATGCGCACATGCACTAGTTTATCACACTAAACTACTGTTCATTGTGTGTAAAAGTTAAAGTTAATGTAAAAGTTAATGAAAACATACAGTAACCAGTAAATGCGATTGTTCGTTTGGATAAATTTGCATTTGATTAACTGCGAAATTTGGTGTTGGGAAAATTTGATGAGAAATGCTTTAGTTTAGTGGCTTTTGATTGTAGACTTTAGTATTTTGGCAAATCTGAGCAAAGTAACTCTAATTGAAACACATGTGAGGTTACATTAGTCTTTTCTTCTGGAGAGAGAAGTGTAGTGACCTGGATCAGTGTTTTCTGAAAGTAACGCAAGTTATGGTGCCTTTACTTCGGGGCTTCAAGCAATACTGTTAACAACCGTTTGAAGGATTTATAAAAACAAAAACAAACGTCAATTAACATGACATGAATTAACATTCCACACAACATAAATCATGTCAAAGATGAACAAATGACTACAAAGACAACACAGAACCAATAAAGACGTCAGGAAGAGCAGCAAACATGACAAAACAACCAAACAAATCATGCAAATAAAAGACAAAACCTTCACAGCATCATGAATCTATATGTGATGTTTCATGTGCTAAAGGTTCATTGCGTGAATATAATCATATCTGGCAGTAAACTACTGTACATATATACACTACCAGTCAAAAGTTTTTGAACAGTAAGATTTTTAATGCTTTTTAAAGAATTCTCTTCTGCTCACCAAGCCTGCATTTATTTGATCCAAAATACAGCAAAAACAGTAATATTGTGAAATATTTTTACTATTTAAAATAACTGTTTTCTATGTGAATATCTGTTAAAATGTAATTTATTTCTGTGATGCGCAGCTGTATTTTCAGCATCATTACTCCAGTCTTCAGTGTCACATGATCTTCAGAAATCATTCTAATATGCTGATTTGCTGCTCAAGAAACATTTATTATAATTAATATTTAAAACAGTTTAAAACTAATTTTTTCAGGATTCTTTGATGAACAGAAAGATCCAAAGATCAGCATTTATCTGAAATAAAAAGCTTTTGTAACATTACACACTATACCATTCAAAAGCTTGGAGTCAGTATCATTTTTCTGGGGGGGAAGAAATTATAGAAATTAATACTTTTCAAAAGTGATGATAAAGACATTTATAATGTTACAAAAGATTTATATTTCAGATAAATGCTGTTCTTCTGAACTTTCTATTCATCAAAGTAACCTGAAAAAATTCTACTCAGCTGTTTTCAGCATAATAATAATCAGAAATGTTTATTGAGCAGCAAATCAGAATATTAGAATGATTTCTGAAGATCATGTGACACTGAAGACTGGAGTAATGATGCTGAAAATACAGCTTTGAAATCACAGGAATAAATTACAGTTTAACAGATATTCACATAGAAAGCAGTTATTTTAATTAGTAAAAATATTTCACAATATTAATGCTTTTGCTGTATTTCGGATCAAATAAATGCAGCCTTGGTGAGCAGAAACATTCAAAATCTTACTGTTCAAAAACTTTTGACTGGTCGTGTAATTTAACATAAGAAAATGTATAAAGAACTATATATGTCGCCGTCTTTTTCTGTGTATTGATGGTTTGGATTCGAAAGTTGAATTAAAATAATGGAAAACAGCAATAAAGTACTTTGAAATGGAAGAGAAACTGAACACTGAAACTGGAACGGAATGGACTCCATCTACTCTCACTCTTAAAACACTCCTCTGATTCAGCTTATACACGTCATTTATTGATTTATTGCTTTAAAATAACTCTGAGGTACCTGTACACCAGCCATAGTTCTGATCGAATCACATTCGATTTAAATCGCGTTCTGATCGGTCCCGCGTGTAAATGTGCCGCGGCCCCTTTAAGCGCGACTCCATTTTTCGGCGAAATTTTTTATCAAAGTTCCTGAAAAACTTGAAGGGTCCGAATCCACTCCGACTTTATTAACGAGACTCCGAAATCCGGATTAACGGAGGAACTTCAGCAGTCATCCGGCTGATATTAAACACCGAAACTACCTACCATTAGGCTGTTATTGTTATTAATTATCATCATCTTTTCATCAGCATCTGAGTTTGGCTCAAACCGGATCAGACATGACGAGTGAGTCCAGAACAACAAAACTGTCTATAACAGCATTCAACACTGTATAACAGCTAATTCTGCTCAACTAAGCTACATACATACACGCATATGATATATATCCAATGCTGTTACACATAAGAAGCAATAGTGCAATAATGCACACAGCATTACACTGTAATAAACGATTCCTCACTGTTTTCTGATACTATCAACTCAAGTTCATCTACGAATCTGTAATTGGTGTTTTCATTGTTTGGCACTTTTGCATGACTGGATTCATTTCTTAAAGAAGCAGTTTAAACAAAACAATTTTTTTTTTTACTTAATTCGCGGTTATATCAGATCAGAGCTGAACTGAGCTCTTTTCCGATCAGGTGAATGTTTAACCAGGTAAAAGTTCTCGGTTTAACAGAGTTGAAAGTCCGCGTGAAAAAAAAGTCCTTCTTATTACGTAATTATTGTGTTGGCTGTGTCTGTAAATGTGCTGAACGTAATGCATACTCCATTCTGTTTGCATACTACAATATCAAAGTATGCTATGAAAAAAAATCGCATTTTTTATATTTTGTCTGTTTGTTTGTTTGTTTATTTATTTATTAATCGCTTTTTATTTTTTTAAATCTTTTTTCTTTATAATGCACTTTTTATTATTTTTTATTATTTGCTTTTAAACTGAGCACAACTCAGTTCATTTTAGAAAACCTTACAGACTGCAGAAATAGTATGCTAGCATGCCATTCGGAACGTATTTTATCTTTTCGTAAGTTCGATCAAATCGTGAGTCAAAAATATGATTAAATAATCAGTTAATTTGCTGAGCACATTGTATTGTGGACATTTTGTCAAAATTACAAATAGATCATTTGGCGTAATTAGTTTTAATTTTAATTATTATTATTAGTTTTGCTTCTTTGTAATTTTAATTTATAATTTTTTATTTTTATATGCACAATTAATTTATATTCTTTAAATGTGTGCTTTTTTTTTAGGTTTGCTCTTAAACTGAACAAAACACACCTCAATTAATTTTATATATGTATGTTTGTATTTATTTATGTTAGGTATTTTTATTTATAATTTACATTTTTAATGCACAATTCTTTTTTACATTTTTGCATCTTTTTTAATTTTACAAGTACATCATTTATTATATTTATTTTATTTGTATATATATATATATATATATATATATATACAGTACTTTCAACAGCTGTTGTGGGGGAATCCTAAGCCCCTCCCCTCTGCTGATGTATGAAGGGAGTGGCTCCGCCTCCACTACTGTGCTAAGAGATCCCCAAGCCCCGCCCCCCGTGCATATGTTCCTGCTCTGATAAGAGAGTCTCCTAGTGCTCTCTTGTCCCGTCTCTCTCTGTCTCTCTCCATCCGTCTCTGTGCAGACAGACGGTCGGCAGCATGTCGGACTCCAGTCCAGCTCCGGCACAGAGCAAAAGCAAAGCTAAACCCTGCAAGAGAGGCAGTTTACCCAGCAGGACCAGCCCGGGTGAGTGCCGCCGCAGCGGGGAGACAGAAGGGCTGAGAGATAGACGGGGTGGGGTGTGATAGGGGACCATATCTTCAAGCAGTTCAGGCCAGTTTGGAGTTTGTTTTCTTTTTGAGTGCTTTTTTACTCAGCAAAATGGATGCCATATTAAAATAAATATTTAAAAATATTTATTAAATATTATTTTATTTAAACAGTTTTTTATTGAATTATTTTTAAATGATTTTAAATGTATTTACTAATCTCCGTTGCACTGGTCAAACACATGTGAGGTGAATTATTAATGGTCAGTGTTTCAGTCTGATCTCAGAACAGAAACGACCAACTTTCATCATTTTCCAGCCAGTTTTGTTGGTTTCGTCCTGAACGCTTCAATATATTAATGAAAAGTGCAGGAAAGTGGGATTGTGGGAAAGTGTTGGTCCAGGCGTGAGAGCTCATGAAATACACAGGAGCTTGTGCGTCCGGTTTTACCTGAGCCTGCAACCTTCTGGTTTATCTGAAAGAGACGAGAACGCAACGATTACAAGAAAATTCAGTTAAGTGCACAACAATATATGACTCTAGGATATGTCTTAGTGAATGATTGCACAGGAGAAAAAAAAGATACAAAAAATGTAGAGAGAAAAAAGTGTAAACTAATGAAGAGAACATGAATGAAAAACATAATATTTTAAACTTAACATTTTGACAGTCCAAAGATTGTGGGAAAGTGTTGGTCCAGGCGTGAGAGCTCATGAAATACACAGGAGCTTGTGCGTCCGGTTTTACCTGAGCCTGCAACCTTCTGGTTTATCTGAAAGAGACGAGAACGCAACGATTACAAGAAAATTCAGTTAAGTGCACAACAATATATGACTCTAGGATATGTCTTAGTGAATGATTGCACAGGAGAAAAAAAAGATACAAAAAATGTAGAGAGAAAAAAGTGTAAACTAATGAAGAGAACATGAGTGAGAAACATAATATTTTAAGCTTAACATTTTGACAGTCCAAAACACAGATGAATATCTATTTGCAACCATTTAGATTGAAAAACAACCTTACATTTAAAAATAACATCATAAATACTAGTAATATTACTAAAAATAATACATGCATACTAATATAATTATAAATAAATAATTATATTATATATAATACATACACACTAATGTAATTATAATTACAAATTTTAATTAAAAAAGGACAAAAATTATATACTTTTTTTTTTTATTCTTAATTTTTTTAATTGTTATATCTTAGCTGACCTGTACTGGACTTTACATAGAAAATGTATTATTATTACACAACAAACCGTTGTGTATTTCTGTTGTAGAGCTCCATCTGCTGGACGTGTGTGTGTGTGTGTGTGTGTGTGTGTATTTCACTTCACAGCTTATTCTGCTCAATAACCGCCTGCATACACAGTAAAAGGCTAAAATAGAACAGCCAATCACGGTCGTTGAGGGGCGGGGCTTATCTGAAACAGAATAATATGTCAGTTTGTGATTGGTTGTACAGAAACTAGAAGAAAAATAAACACACACAATTGGCTTAAAAATGTAAAAGAACCATAAATTGTAATTTGCAGATTATGTTTCTGAATTAAATGCTTATAAGGCATGTCCATTCATTCGGTGACCATCTTATATTTGGTTGAAATTTCAAAAAAAAAAAGAAATGCATTTTTAATGCATTAAAAAGTCTTTAGCAAACTTTAGTGAAAAAAAATGTCTAGATGTGCAACAAAACACCACGTTACAATAATATATATCAATAAAAAATGTAAAAGAAAGAATTATGTATACTAATAAACACTACTAGAGATAATATTAAAGAAAGTATTAACAAACTTAAGCGAATTAGTTTCTAGATGCGCATAAAAAACAAACAAAAAAAGTCTTATGTTTAAATTCAAATGAGAAAAATCTGACAACAATGGCATCATAAATTCTTAAACTCAAATCACAAATAAAACTTTTTTTTTTAGGGTAGATCGGCTAATGTGCATTTTTGAGTAAAAGACGTGTGATTGGCTCGTTTGACTGAGAGGCGGGGCTAATAAATACTACAATAATAAAACAAATAGAAAAAAATAGTCATAAAATAATAATACTTGTATTTAAAAATAAAAAAAATCTATATAAATATACGTATACACACAAATAAAACTGTATTTTTCAGGCTGGTGTGTGTTCTGGAGTAAACAGACACGCGATTGGCTTGTTCGACTGAGAGGCGGGGCTACAGCTGCCTTACTGAGCACTTCATTTCTCTCCTTTCCTCCTTGAATAAAATGTTACATAATGAGGTCACATGACTACAGTGAAGCGCACTACTTGTGCACAAGTACACACTACAGAGTATGTACTGCACAGTACGCTAGTGCTGCATTGGGACGCAGCCACACACACACACACACACACACACACACACACAGAGGTGTGTTCATGCTGGTTTTCCCAGGATTCCACTGGAAACGCAGTAGGGTTTAAACACACAGTGGTGCGTCCCGCCACCACACCCCCCTCCCCCCCATCTGCAACGTGGTACGAGCCAAACACGAGTGAACCCGAGCGTCCCGACACACACTGAGAGAATCGCTGCAGTGAGAGACAGACACACGCACATATAGCCGGACAGGAAGTGCTTGTTACCCTGAGCATCCCAGCAGAGATCAGGCTACACACAGGTACCACACACGTGCCTTTCAGCTCTGCATGCGGCTCTCCGTGTTCATGTGTGTGTGTGACGGCTTTATTTGCACTGGTCTGAGGTGCTTTAAATAGAATGTTGTGGAATGATCACCTTAAAGTCACATGATGAGAGTCAAACTCTTTCTATATATTTATATTACATGTGTTTATATATATATATATATACAGTATCTCACAGAAGTGAGTACACCCCTCACATTTTTGTAAATATTTTATTACATCTTTTCCCCGAGCGTCCCGACACACACTGAGAGAATCGCTGCAGTGAGAGACAGACACACGCACATATAGCCGGACAGGAAGTGCTTGTTACCCTGAGCATCCCAGCAGAGATCAGGCTACACACAGGTACCACACACGTGCCTTTCAGCTCTGCATGCGGCTCTCCGTGTTCATGTGTGTGTGTGACGGCTTTATTTGCACTGGTCTGAGGTGCTTTAAATAGAATGTTGTGGAATGATCACCTTAAAGTCACATGATGAGAGTCAAACTCTTTAGTGTTTTGACAGGAAAATTGTTGCGTTTCAATGCCAATTTTATAGCTGTATATCTCTCTACATATTTTTCTATAAAGTTTTTTTTAAATAACTGATATCTCTCTTTCTATATATTTATATTACATGTGTTTATATATATATATATATATATATACAGT